TTGCATGTGTCTTACCAGGCTGATAGAACCAGCCCCGTTTTCTCTTAAAGAGAAGACAGTGACCCTAACAGAATCTTGCTTAAATAACTCTGTCAACATTGCTAAGGTTCCTCTCCAGGAATGAAATGAATCATATAATGACATCTGAAACTCCCAGAGGGCTGGGAAATCAGAGGAAGCGAGGAAAAGGAAAAGAAAAAGCTCAGAGTCTGGCAATTACTAAGAATAAAGTCCTGGAAGAGGCCCAGACTAATGCTACCTCTAGCACTGTGACCATGTCAAGATTTCGCTGCTTGCCTTCAGCACTGTCTTGAGAAGCACTGCAGACCAGCTGCAGGTAGCTCAGAGGATCGGCAGGCAGAGTTCGCAGCTCAGCTTCCAGCTCTAAGTCTCAGCCAAGGCTGAGGCCACAATGCTACAGTTACCTTACTGACAGAGCTTCCTGCCATCTGGGGGATCTCATCTTCATCTTTGCTTTTCAGTGATTTTGGCTACTCTGTTTCTCTTCTAATATTTCTATCTTACTGCCCTACTAAAGCCTGCAGGCGACACTGAGCACCAACTCTGCCATGGGCAACTTGTTAAGCCTAAAGTTTAAAGAACAGGGTGGGGTATTGACTGTTGGCATCTGGGCGTGGGCGGTGCATTTGCTTTACTGTTGCTGTTTTCCCAGCCAGGGAATTCTCAGATTCCTGATCAACTGAGAAATGTAACAAAAAACATTAGCTGGTTTCCTAAACTTGCTGTCAGGAAACTATACTTTAATATACCACTGAATTAGATTTTTAAAAATATTGAGGACTTTAATGTGAGAAAGTCTTTAGTCTTATTTTATGCACTTTATACATATTAATTTACTCCTAAGACTAATGTTGGGGAAGGAAGAGAGAGAGGTTCCCCTCCATTCTACAGAAAGCAGAGGAGAGGAAAGCCAGGACTGCCTACCAGCACTGTCCTGTCACGACTAGCAACGCAAAGGTCAACTTACATATAAGTGAAATTTGCCATCCAACTCTAACAAATTTATACCCCAAATCTGTAAATTTATGTATTTAAATTTGATCTACATTTGCTTATTTTACTACCTATAGCCAGCTGGGAGAAAAAAGATACCCAACCTTTTTGTTTTATTTCTGGTTTTTAGAGACACTTTCAAGTAGCCCAGGCTGGCTTTGCACTGTGTAAGCCAGGTGGGTCTCCTCCTCTCAATCCTGCCTCAGCCTCCCAAGAGCTGGGATTACAAGCGTGTACTACCATTTTTGCTTCAGAGTCATGACCCCACCTCCACCCCGAGGCAGGGTTTCTCTGTGCAGCCCTATCTGTCCTGGAACTTGCCCTGTAGACCAGGCTGATCTCAAACTCACAGAGCTCCGCCTGACTCTGCCTCCCGAGGATTAAAGGCCTGAGTCCCCACCACCTGGCAGTTCTGTTTTTTAAAGGTCACTACATTTTTACAACCGTGTTTCAGTAGTTTAGAGCACTTGCCTCTCTTCCAGCAGACCTAGGTTCAATTCTCAGCACCCACATGGTGGCTCACAACAGTTCCAGGAAGTCTCATGCCCTGTGGAACTCATGGTAACGAGGCATAAATGAGCTACACATACATTCAGGCAAAACACTCATACACATAAAATAAAGTATTTTTAAAATTTCTAAATAAAAAACTGAGCACCAGGCTGGAAAAACAGCTCAGAGGTTAAGAGCACTGACTGCTCTTCCTGAGTTCTATGCCCAGCAACCATGTGTTGGCTCACAGCCATCTATGAGATCCCATGGCCTCTTCTAACACTCTATATATAATAAATAAATAAATCTTTAAAAAAAAAGACCTGAGCATCATTTTACTTGCTTGCCAAATGCCTCAAAAATATCCTTAGATGGCTGATTTGATTATTTAAATTCTCAAGACATCAGCCCTCCAAAAGCCTAAAGCATTAGTTGCTTTATTATCAAAATGAAAGGACATCCATGCTGTCATAGGGAAACAAAGATGAGACACATTTACTGAGCCAATTCCTAAACAGCGAATAAACAGTCATCTGAGCTGACATTCCAGCCATCCTGAGAACTGGAACGCAGACTCTGCGGCCTCCCATCAAGCCTTTGGCGTGACATTACTATCACAGAGGACATGGAGAGCTGAGATGTAACGATCCCCTCACCTATTTCTTCATAACTGATGAAGCCCACCCAGCATCCTTTGTCCACAGAACACAGAATCTCAACACCTTCCTCAGCACTCCTCACAGCCACTCTGCACCGCAGGCTTCCACAGGCAGAATCACAGCAAAGTCCCCATACCTTCTAGTACTGGCACTGCTCCCACAAACCACGTCCGTACCTCCTAATGTTTAATTTATGGCAGGTCTATCTCCTATCTGTGGAAAGTGGAGTGTGATGCACTTATTTCCTAGGACCTTGTGAGTTACAGGCTCAGGCCTGTAGACATGCTAAGGATGTACCTGACCCACGTCTATCAGTACCAGTTATTGCTTAATTTTCACTCAAAACTATGAAGACATCAAGGAAATTTTTGTTGGTGGTGGTGGGTTGTTTCAGTTTTTGGTTTTTCAAGACAGGGTTTCTCTGTATGGCCATGGCTGTCCTGGAACTCACCGCGTATACCAGGCTGGCCTTGAACCTGGAGATCCACCTGCCTCTCCCTCCAAAGTGCTGGGATTAAAGGAATGCACCGTCACCGTCGGCTGGTATTTTTAATCCAAAGCTTCTGGATGTTTATCCCCCCCATATGGATGTGACATGACTCCTAAGTCATAAAGCCCGAAATGGATTCTCTCTGCTCCCCAAAGCCATTGCTGCTGCTCTTTGCCTCCCTGGGTCTGTTGTCATATTCCAAACCTGACCCAGGCTCTTCAGCATTATTGCCTGTTACTTGTCCACTGCTGAGTAAGACTCACTCACAAGAGCTTACCATGGTTATTAATATATTTTTCAGTTATTTTAACAGTCATTGAAACAAGTCTTCCCTAGCTTCTTACTCTTCAATCTAGTTTCTGTAAGTCACTTAAAGTGGCCTTCCAAAAACTTTTATTTTACTCTGCTGCTACCACAACTCAGAAACCAACTCCCCAAAGAAGTCGTACTTAGCAGCAGAGAAAAGCCTGAACTTCCTGTTTGCTGTCCAAGGCTTTCTGGGCTCAGACTACCTCTCCAGCCTTCTCACCAATCTTCACAAAAGAGCCTGTGCTCAATGCTTCCAGGATCCACTTCCTGCCCCTGCTTCCCCAGCTCCTGTGCTGCTGGACACACTGCTTCCAGGATCCACTTCCAGTCCCTGCTTCCCCAGCTCCTTACTTTACTTCCTTCTTCCACTACTCAGTTTCTCTCTCCATCCCTCCCCATAAAACACCAGACTTCAAATGCTGTGTTTTACAATAAGCTAACATGTGCTTTCCCCATCCTTTTTATGTCCTCATAGAGTCACCTCGACCTGCTAGCAAAACACCCTTGTCTACAAGTACTAAAAGTTGTTCAAAGCGACCAAGCATTAGGTCTAGAACTCAGAATCAATATCAAATCCTACTTTCTCCTTAACCCAGTCCTGCCTGCCCTTCCTATGTGTCTTATCGTTTATTACACTTTAGTTATTTGCATGATTATATAAATGAATAGTTCTAACTTTAAAGAAAAATGTATTAAAAGCTCCTGCATGAAATGTTTGCTAAGCCAATTAAAAATCTAACAAAAAAAAAATGTCAACTCATGTTTAACCAGTTTTAGAATGGGATAAGAAAAAAAAAAGCTGGCTCATGGGAACATCCCTTGTCACTTCTTAGTAAATGTCACTCATACCATGAGTACAGCTAGTAATTTCTTCATCTGAGGAAAATGACAGCTGCCCCCTTCACAGGTTGCTAAGAGCGTACAGGAAGTGGTGTGGGAAAACATTTGACAGTGCCTTCTGTGGAATTCTCTGCATTTAATTTTTAGCCTTACCAAGTCCTGCCACGGCAGTCTCCAAACTGCTCTGGCCTCGTCAGTGCCTCCTCCAGAGGCTCAGCCCACCACTGACAGTGGGTTGACATCACACACCTCTGGCTTTCTTCACTCTAGCACATTTTAGCTCAGAGCCTTCTCAGCACAGGCTTCACAACAGATCTGGATCCCCATTCCACCTGTTCCACACACAGTCTCTGTGACCTTGGGCAGATCACTCCTACTGTCGGGGCCCTAGTTCTGTACTTCAAGAAAGATGAGTTATATCTTACCTTACTGTGTGTCCCAAGTAATTAGCAACTTGGCCTGGAAAGGTGGCTTGGTCGTGTTTGCCATAATTACAATAACACAGCACCTGCACTTCAGTTTTCACACCAGTGCTGTCCTGTCTTTACCTAGCTCCTTATCGAACTAGAAAATACCAAAGAAGGGCACTGTCCCTTGCTTTCCACTGCATGTGCACATAACAAATACTTAAATGTCTCTAGAAGAAGTAAATGCTTTAAGTGCGTCCTGTTAACAAAGACCCTGACCCAAGCCAGCCTCACTGTCCGATATGCACGCTGCCGCGGCCCCCAGGCCCCTGCACCGAGATTTTGACAGACTCGGTGGAAGGTGAGCACCTGGGAAGGCATACTCGCCTCACGCGGAGGTACAGCAAGGGGCTAGGTTATCAAAGAGTGTCACCCCGATTCACAGGTGGGGGCCTGGGTGTTTGGAGACACGGCGGGATGTGATCTAGCAGGTCGCAGAGGCCGGGACAGAGCGCGGGCCAGCTTGGCAGCAGCTGCAGCCCCGGGCCTCTCGCCTGCCCTCAGGGCGAGCCTCACCTCCTCCACTTTCAGCTCTTCCACAGTGGGCAGCTCCACTATCCCCGGCATGACGGCGGCAGCCCCGACCCTGATCAGGTGCCCTCAGCCGCGCCGCCCGTCTCCTTCAATTCCCCTTTGGGTCTCCCAGGTTGCCCTGTACCATTTGCGCATGCGTCTCGAGCGGCGCGCAGGCGCAATACTCTGCCGCTACCGGAGTAGACGCGTGTACGCCATTTCAGGAAGTCAAGCGGGGTGAGGGGCGGGGTTTCGTTTGAACTCCGCCCACACCTCCTGGTTGTCATAGTAATACTGAGGGCGCTGAAGTTGTCTTGTCTCTCTAGACTCTAAACGCTGACATGCAGTACACCGGGAGCCAATATATCGGGTCGTACACAAACGGGAGGTAAGGTCCCATTCGTTCGTGTGTTCACTCCCGGGCTGGGGAAAGGCAGCTGCCTTTTGGTCTCTGCCAGGGACTTTGAGCCAAGCATTTTCAAACGCTTGTGCTAACATACTCATGTACACATGTCTAATAAGCCACATAGGTGGGATTCATTCAATTTATTGTGTGACGTGTGTGTGTCCCAGCACCCACATGGTGGCTCACGACCATTAATAACCAAAGTTCCTCTTCTGGCCTCTGTGGGTACCAGCACGCACCTGGTGCACATACATACATGTTGGCAAAACACTCATACACATTAAAAAATAAAAATAATTTTTTTTAAATAGGACTTTTTAAAAAAGGAAAACAGGAGCCTGGAATACAAGAGCTGATTCCAGGACCACTGGGGTTCTTACACAGAGAAACCCTGTCTCAAAAAAAAAAAAAAATGGAAAATAGGAAATGCTATTCAGCAAATGCCCTCAAAAAGCTCATGCAGACAATGAGGGCAAGTAAGACTGACACAGTTAAGTAATCAAGGTCAGCACTGTGGGCACGAGAGGCAGAGGACCCAGTGTGGCTAGCAGCTCCAGATGAAGAAGGTGGAATATTTTTTAGAACTGGAGAGCCTGAGGCTGGGGGGAAAGTATATTGACAGATAAATCCTAGCTGTTGTGGTGTAAATCACTTCATGGGGCTGTGGAGATGGAGAGATGAAGGGCCTGATTTGGGAGGGTCTGTGTGCGCAAGCTAGAGGGACTGCAGGGTGTTTTGAGTTTGAGGCTGTGGGATCAATGACCTAGCGGGCAATAGGGATAGATTCCTAGAGAAAGTGGTAATAATACATATGGGATGCTGACTCAGATCTTCAATCAGCTTTGCAAGGGAGATGGTAAAGGACTCAAGACTCTTGTCTGACTCTTCAGAACGTGGCAAAGATGCTAGGTGTACAACACTTCCACGAGAGTGATTTAGTTCAGGCTGATCTTGCACATACATGGTTGAACTTAGGCAAAACAAGCGGCATACTCACTCTTACGAATACAATGCTAAGAAGTGATGGAGTAAGAATTTCTACCCATTTCTGTGTCTAAACCACATCACTTCTTCCCACCTGGCCTTGCTACAGCAGAAGTTTTGTCAGCTGGAGATAAAGGACTGGGTATTCTTGGCACAGAAACCGGGAAACCCACACACATCTTTATGATGTGCTCTGCACGTAAAGTCAGTGAGACAGACAGACACCGACAGAAGGTCAGAATTCTACACACTTTCACCTGTCTGTACTGTACCAGCCACCCCTGTTCATCCCAAGCAATGTGTTTGCTTGAGGTCTTTTTGGTACTGCTGTAATCACAGTATTGAAACCCAGACCTGACAGGAGCCTCTCAGCTGCCCACAACCCACAAGAAGATAGTTGTTGATTTGCTGGCTGGCTGTTCTTTTCATAGTTCTGCCATGTACTCTGCCTGAATCTTGGTTTTTAGCAACAGGCAACTTAGTCATCCTTTGGGCTGTTTAGATTCCAGCATGTAATGAGAGAAACAGCACCTAGAGAACCCAGCCTTCAGCTAGAGGCAGACCCCCATTTCCTCATCTTCAGAAGGGGGAGCTAATGAACACCCCGAGGGGATTCAAAGACATACTTAACAGTATGCATACAGATGTTGTTTTCACGGAGAGATAATGGCAGGGGGAGGAGGCTCTTTTCTTTCTTGGTCTGAGAGGAGGCAATTTATTTTTAGAGTTTAAATGCCTGGAATCACTTCTTATATAGAATAAATTAATACTTAATATTTGGTTTAGGTAGAGTTCCCACTGCTGGTGGGAATATAACATTGGACAAGTGCTCTGGAAAAGCTTGACATTTTCTTAAAAAGTAAGACAGGCATTTGACTCCTAGGTATTAGCCTGATAAATGGGAATATATGCCCATACAAAGGCATGCTTGTGAGTGCTCCAACAGCTTTATGTAACTGAGACTGTAATAACCGGAAACTGGAATCAACCCAAATGTCCACCAACATGTGAATGAGCAAACAATGTGGTATATCCATTCACTGGAAGAGCACACAGCAGTGAGAATGCTGGTTCACACAGCAGTAACGTGAATAGATCTCAGAAGAATTATACTGAGTGAAGGAAGTCCCCCCTCCCAAAAAGGAGAACATAGTATATGATTTTTATATAAAATTATAGGAAATGAAGATGAATTCATGGCCACAGAAAATTGATCAGTATTTGCTTAGGGATGAGGAATGAAAAGAACAAATAAGAAAGATTAAAGAAGATTAGGCAGTAGCTGGGGTGGGGGATATATTAATTATATTGACTATGATGATGGTTTCCAGGATATGTGTCAAGGCTCACAAGCTATACACTTTAAGTATGTGTATAGTTTTGCATATCAATTATGCTTCATAAATAAAACTGTTTTAACAAAACATTAAAATTCATGATTTGCTTGTACCATATCTAAATATAAAAATGAAAAACCCGGTATAGTGGCTTATACCTATATTCTCAGAATTTGAGAGGCTGAGGCAGGAGGATTGTCAAGGCTTCAAGGCCAGTCTGATCTACATGAGTTCCAGGTCAGCATCGGCAAGAGAGTGAATCCCTATTGATAAATAAATAAATAAATAAAATGTAGGGCCTCTCTGACCTCATGGTCATGATTTCCCTGGAAGTGCTGCACAGTTGAGTTCTAGATGATTCTACTTCAGAACACAGAGAAGAAGAAAGACCTTCTACGTTTTATAATAGCCACCATGCCTCATAGTGATTCCCATTTGACAAATGAAAAAGGTAAGTAAGGTGCAGAGTGAATTCTGTAGCTGGCCCAAGCTAACATTTGACAGAACAAGGATTTGCTTAGTGGACAAGACTGAACTGGTCACGGTGGACTCAGAATCAGCTGCCTGGGCCGCTGGTTCTGCAGTTTCTGCTGTGCACCTCTGACGCAGTCCACAGTCCTCTCTGGGCCTAGCAAGGCCAGCAATGAACAGCATCAACTCCAGGACAGTCTGCGGGGGCAAGGAGGATGGCAGAGCAAAGGCTGCGCATCTTAAACAACTTATTGATTGATTGATTGATTGATTGTGATTTTGATGAGAGCAAAGCCCCACAGAAGCTCTGCGAGAACAGTGCTGGGTGACGACACCTAAGGATGCAGAGAGTGACTGTCTCCCCATCCTTACAGGATGGAGGGCAATGCGGAGTACATCCTCCCTACTGAAACGCGGTATGTTGGGGACATGAAGGACGGCATGTTCCATGGAGAAGGAACCCTGTTCTTTCCCAGTGGGAGCCGATTCGACGCCACCTGGGAGAAAGGATTGGCGGTGAAGGTGACCAGCTGGGGCTTCGGGAAGGGTCTCAGGCAGGAAGAGCCCCTCACCTGTTGTTGCCTCTTTCCATTCTCTCCTCTCTCTGCTACTCATCCTCCAAGGATTCTAGGATCTCCTCCCTCCATCCTGCTGTGCCATTTGCAGTCTGCTCTCTGGCCAATGACTGTCTCTGAAATGCATGCTCTTCAGGGTGTGTGTGTGTGTAGTTTTCAAGGCAGGGTTTCTCTGTGTGCCCCTGGCTGTCCTGGAGCTCACTATATAGACTAGACTGGCCTTGAGCTCACAGATCTGCTTGCCTTTGCCTCCCGAGGGCCGGGATTAAAGTGTGCACCACCACTGCCCAGTCCATGCTCCCCAGCCTTAAACAACAGTCAGCATGGCTATCTACTGCTGCTGTGGCCGATTACCCCTCAGCTGACCATGTACCATCGTACGGCTCTGGGGACTGGAAGCCTAAACAGGGCCAGCAGGCCGACTCCAGGAGAGAATCTCTTCCCTCACATTTTTTTCTACCTTCTAGAAGCTGCCTGCGTTTCTCGACTCAGGCCCAGGTATCACTCCAGTCTCTGCTTACAGCTCCAAGTCACTTCTTCTCCCCCGTCTCGTCCTCTCCCTTGGACCTGTCTACCTCTCTCTTGTAAGGACCCTCACCTCACATTGAGCCATTCTAGAAAAGGTCTCTTTTAAAAATTATTCAAGGTAACACATTCATAAGTTCCAGCAGGTCTGGTCAGCTTTGGGGGAAGGGTGGGATGGCGTAGCTTAGCCGATCACAATGGTGCTGACTGTAAAGGGAGAAGTGTGCATTCTCAGCCATCTCCTGACACACAGCAGACACTCAGGAAATGTCAGCTTTTACTGCCACCACCTCTGCTACATCATCTAATCCAAAGGTTCTTATCTTGGGGTTTATGGGTAGAACTTAGGGATCAGTGGACCCCTGATTTATACACACACAAAAGCCTCTGTGAATATGGAACTATATTTTTCTGCGGAAAAATGACCTGCACTCATTTGAGTTTCCCTGAGTGTTTGCTGGGCCTGACGCATGACCTAAATAAAGGTTAAGAAATGCTTCTTCTTTTATAGCTTGGGGACTCTATGCCTCAGGAAGGGGATGTGACTTACCCAAGGTCACACAGTGAACAAACAGTATTGTGGGAATTTCCACCCATGTTTCCTGAGGCCTAGGCTGATGTGCTCTTTACATCCTGAGGTTTCCTTTAGCTCTGAAGCAGCAAGAACAGAATGCGCATATCTGGACAGGAGGCTGTGGCTCCTGGCTCTGGCTTTTCCAGCTACAATAATAATAAAAGGAAAAACAGCATGTGCAAGTGTTCCTTTGTGGGTATTAGAGCACTCAGAGGAGGGTGATCAGGAGGGCACGGCAGATAGACAGAGTCTGGCTCATGAGATAATGGAAGCTGGGACACAGTGTATCTTCTGAAAGCTGGAGGCCCAGAGAAAGCCAGAACTGTAGTCCTTGTCCAAACTGAAATGCTGAGACTCTCGAGAGGCAGAGGCGAGGTGTGCTGATGTCCAAGGCCAAGATGAAATGGGCATCCCAGGACAGCTGAGAGCAAGCGGTCCTTCCTCTGTCCCATCTTCTGATCATGTCTTTAACAGTGCCCATCTGTATGGGCAAGGGTGATCTCTGTATTTTGACAACTCAAATGCTAATCTCTTTGGAAAACACACACACCTCCCAGATAAGCTTGGCACATACCTATCTCACCAAATTCCCAGCCACCCCTATTAGAGGGATACTGTCATCCTAATCCTATAAATGAGGAATCTGGCAAGAGCCTAGAGTAGGCCACCTGCCCAGCTCCATGCAGTCGCCATGATTTCTGCATCGTACATAGGTTGGGTGCAGTATCTCTGTCCCCCCTAATCTTCACAACCATGGCCATTGTGACAGCTGCCACTTCATTCCTGAGGCAGTGAAAAGCCAATCGTTTCCTTGGTAACAAGGCTTTGGTCTCCTCTGGTTCCTTCCAGGGCAAGTATACCTTTGCTGATGGGCTGCAGTATGAGGACAGACACTGGCACTACTGTGACAGTTATGACCGGAGATTCCACACCGAGATCTGCTATGGCCTGAAGCCCTCAGGTAGCCCACCCACAGCGTGAGGGAGGTTGAAGGCCCTGAAGTGAATGCCTGGTCCCCACTGAACCTTCCCAAGGGGAAGATGGATGCAGCAGACCCAGGAGAGCCACAGGACCCAGTCCTCACATCTCAGGCCCCTGGGCTGGCCAAGGGGAGAAGACCAAGGAATCCCACTTCTCTGTGCCTCAGCTTTCCCCATCCAAGTCAGAGAAGCAGTGTTTTCTGCCTTACAAGTTCATTGCCAATAAGAAAATTTGCACCTGGAATGGTGTTTTGCGTGCATGTCTTGCGTGCATGCATGGCACATGACATCTGTCATGCTAAAAATATGTAAGCATTATACCACAAAAGGGTGGGAAAGGGGGACACAGGCTGACAGGACATGTGTTCCATGGGCTGTGTCCCTCCAGTCCCTGTCTTCTCTTAGACTGTTTAGGGTGCCCCATCTGGTCACTCTTCCCTGCCCCACCTCACAGGGGAGAAAATCGAGAGCATCTCTAAGATGGCAACTCGACTGAGGTTTCAGTCACTGAATTGCCTCAAAGTCACTAGCATGGGAAAGGCATTCAGCAATCATTGCCAATATATATGTATTTTGGTCAGGGTCAAGTGTATAATTAGACAACATTCAAGCATTGTTTTTGTGTGGTGCAGATATGCAAGCACAGCATAGTGGGCTCAGAGAAAGGTAAATTCAGGACTTAACATTAAAAAGAACATTCCAGCATCCCCCTTTACTCCAGTCACGGCATTCCAAGACTTAAAATGTCTGTACCCCTGACTTAGGGATTGAACTCAGACCCACTCCTTCCCTCCTGTGTCACTTAGCACCCAGGGTCCAGAGCCTGGCAGCTTCCTAGCTAGCTTGCACTGGGCCTGTTACTCAGCCTCTGATGTGAGTTCGCTCTGTAAGAAGGGGCTACTCTGGGGCTTATCTGAGACAGGAGGAGCCAAATGTGTAGTACACTAGAAACAATGAATGGTACCACTGATGTGGGATTCCCCTCTGTATGCTGTGAACCATTTGGTTAATGAATAAAGCTGCTTTGGCCTGTGTCAGGGCAGGATAGAGCTAGGCAGGAAAACTAAACTGAATGCTGGAAAAAAAGAAGATGGAGTCAGAGAGACGCCATATAGCTGCTGAAGGAGATAGATGCCCATGAACCTTACTAGTAAACCATGAGCCTCATGGTAAAATACAAAATAATAGAAATGGGTTAATTTAAGATATAAGAGCTAGCTAGCAATGTGCTTAAGTGATTGGCCAAGCAGTGATGTAATTAATATAGTTTCTGTGTGATTATTTTGGGTCTGGGTGGCTGGGACAAATAAGCAGCCTCCACCTACAGTACTGCTGTGACTATTTCAAAGAAAGTCCAGGTGCGGCCCTCTGTTTGCCCTTTCCTGGTGACCTCCCTCATCTAGGTTCTGTTCTCAGGTTTCCTGGGTGTGGCCAGGGGTTCACACCTGTGGCCTCTGTCCTGCGTGTGATCAAGGGTTCACATCTATGGCCTCTGTCCTGCGTGTGGTCAAGGGTTCACACCTGTGGCTTCTGTCCTGAGTGTGACCACGGGTTCATACCTGTGCCCTCTGTCCATGCACTGGCTAGCCCTCTCTTGAATCTACTCTCCTGGCCATCTCTGACTCACCCTCGGGATTTCTCTGACTTCAGAACTTTATCACGGTGGCCCAAGAAATGAATGAGGGTGATATCAGAGAAGGCAAGGGTCCAGCTCCCAAGGCCCTGCTCACCGCCCCTTTTTCAAATGCTCCGTGGGACCTGTTCCTGATGACTTTGCTCCTGGTTCTGTAAAAGCAGCCTTTGGTCCCACAGTCACATAAACAACAGCAGTGTGTGTGTGTGTGTGTGTGTGTGTGTGTGTGTGTATGTGACCTTGGTGATGTACTAACTGTCCTCTGTGCCTCCTTAAGGCATCTCTCAGCTCACCAACATGGACCCACCTAGGAAAATCCCCGTTGGCTGCTATGACTGTGGCGATGGCTTCTACGACCCCAAAACCAGAGTCATCAAGGATTACCGGAACCGCTTTCTGAGAAATGCAGGTAGGTGTATGCCAGCACTGCGGACATGCTCTCTCTCCACCTGCAGGGATAACCATACACATGTGCATGCGTGTGTGTGAATATGGTCATCTGGATGTCCCCTTGACCTCAATGCTGGCAGGTCTGTTACGGCCTCAGAGTGAGAGCACGGAGGTGTGTGCTGAAAGGTGAGGCTCTTCTTTCTGTATGCGTCCTTCATTAGCATTAGTGGACTCCTGCGTGTTCTAGATGCCATGCTTGGCGCTGGGTATAGCAGAGAGAAGCTGCATCCCGGGTCCTTCCTGCTGGAGCTGATGCTCCCATAGGCAGTGAGAAAACTACGAATAACTGACTGCAGCATGGAGCAGGCCATCAAAAGGAAGACATGGCCCTAGAAATGAAAGGGTGGGGGCACCATGAAGGAGTAGTTTAGGGTTCCTAGTTCAGAATCAAGGTACCAGAGGTTTTGAGAAGGACATGGCATCTCAATTGGCACCTAGGAATTGACCTTGAACAAGGGGAAGGAGCTTGTTAATCAGTGGGAAAGCACAGGCATGGCCAAAGAGCAGTGACCCCATGTAGTCCAGGAAGGCTGGCTGACTGACTGGCCTCTCAGCTAGCTGGCACATCCGGAACTTCATTTTAGTGAGAGACCCCAAGGCTGATAAGGCTTCACAGTGCCATAACTCTCAGGAAGCAGTGTACAAATAAAAATATGAATGTTTCCTGTAATTCATGGGGTCACAGTTGTCTTCCTGGGGTCATAGTCCCACTATGGTACCGATAGCTATGGTCCTTCTCAAAGATGTGCACACATCTGTATACATGCGCGTGTGCGCACACCTACACACACACACACAGAGAGAGAGAGAGAGAGAGAGAGAGAGAGAGAGAGAGAGAGAGAAGGAGGGGTGTATATACTTTTAAGGGATTTACAGTCTGTGGAGAAGCTCTCTGTGTGAGGAAATATCGAGTAGAACAGAATGGTTCCACGGCAGTGAACAGCATCCCCTTCCCACAGGGACGTCACTCACTCAGTGGAGATGCAGAATGTTGCCAATAGGGCTGGCATGAGAGCCAGGGAAGCATCTGCTGATCCCAAGGCTGGAATCCAGAAGTGCTTTGAAAAGAGCATGTGGAATGTTGAGATCCAGGGACCCAGCGACACCCCTTCTTGTGGGGACACTGTGCCTCAGGGCCAAGTGAGCCAGTACTAAACAGGGTGACTTCCCAAAGGGCCTATCGAATGCTAGTGTCCCTCCCACATTTATTTCAACTGTAAATGCCTAGCACCAAGAAAGCACCAAGAGAACATGGAGACAACAGAGAAAGTCACACATGCAGCAGCTCCACCTCCAGGCCTATGGCAAAGGGCAACAGTGGGGGTCACAGGAAGTGAGTGGAGGTACTAAGGAACTCAGAAGAGGGCATTGTCAGGCTGCAGCTGAGCTCCAAGCAGGCACTGCCCAGCGGGGTCTATGAGGACTGCAATGACGCTGTTTCTGGAAGTGTAGGAAAAATGACACTGGGCGGGAAATGCCACTTCTAAGAAACATTAGCGTGAACAGCAAACAAAACAGAAAGGAATCAGAGAACTGGCTGGCAAAATGTAAATGTGCCATGCTGCCTTGCCCACCCCCACTACACAGAGCAGAATGTGAATGTACCTCCATTGCCATGCCCCCTCCAACCTGCACAGAGCAGTGTGTGAATGTACCTCCGCTGCTGTATTCCCCCCCAACCTACACAGAGCAGAGTGTGAATGTACCTCCACAACCCAGTCTTCTGTCACAAAGCTCCTGAGCAGGTGAGCTCTTCTACAGATGTTAGAACTTCCCCAAAAAGGTGTGTCCCCTGTGCCCCAGTTGGTATGGAACATATGCTGTCAACAAGCTGAACTGTCCTTTCTAGAAAAACAAAGATACTGGCACCTTTTCCCCACATGGGGAGATAGAAGCTCAAAGACCCTGGACCTGTGTTCAACCGATATTAATTTCTAATCAGCCCTGCCTAAAGAACCTATAACCAGCCAGCCACTGTCAATAATCCTTCTATGAAACACTTTGGGGGAGGTGAAGGCATGTATGGGGAGCACAAGGAAAGACCAGTGCTGTGGTCACAGAAGACTACACAGCAGCACGGGCGAGACTGCCATCACCACATCTTTGACTGATCTGAAGCTGAATGTAACATTTATAAGCTCTTTCTTCCACTTCACACCATGGCCTGTTTTATATTTCCAGCTTTGTATTTCCTCTGGTCTCACTTTTGTGTTTGTTTGTTTATCTGTTTAATCTGGCAAGGTTACCTAAACTGTCATTACAAAGACAAGACCTGCCAAAAAGTCCAAACAGAAACACTCTGGCTGTTCAGTTGGTTGGTTCTATTTTTGTTAAGTTTCTACCAGCAGTGGAAGTGTTAAGGAGTGTGGGGAACTCCTGGGTTCTACGTAGTGGTTCCTTTGTCCAGTTGTATAACAGTAACCCAGTTAGTCTGCAACCAGTGACTGTCACTCCAGCCTGCCTAGTGCTCTCCTCCATGCTAAACTCTGTTGCGAGTCTTTCTCTGTCCTGCCAGCCAGATCCCAAATAACCACATGGAGACTTATTATTAACAACTCAGCCAATGGCTTAGGTTTTCTTCTAACTAGCTCTTATTAACCCATTTCTATTCATCTACGTGCTGCCACGTAGCTCATGACTTTTACCTCATCGCCTACGTGTCATGCTTTCTCCATGTCTACTCAAAACTCTGCCTTTCTTCTTCCCAGTATCCTCTGTGCCTAAAAGTCCTGCCTAGCTATTGGTCATTAAGCTCTGTATTAAACCACCCAGAATGACACATCTTCACAGTGTACAAAAAGATCATTCCATAGCAAAGCTCATTGGAGCCACACTGCATCACCTGACAGGACCACCCCCTTGAGAACTGAGACCTGTAAGCCAGTGAAGTTTGAGGCTGTGGGGCAGACATTCTTCCTAAAGCCTGAGTCAGTGTACCAGGCATGCCTTGTCACTGAACACAGGGCTGGCATACACTGGATGCTCATTAAATAGGTATGAAGCAGGGCCAGGTGTATCTCAAGGTAGAGAGCATTTGTCTAGTATGCATGAGGCCTTCATTTCAATCCTGAGGGCAACAAAAAAAGTAAGGATATATAAACCAGATAAATCAAGGAATGGATGTGAACTATGAACCTCTACCCTGGGGGTGGGTGCAGGGGAATATATTTCTTGCATGTCTCTAATGTGTTTGACTATGAAATTTGCTGGGAAGTGGGGCAGTGGGAGTATTTTGCAGAATCAGGGCAGTATGAACTCTATTCTGGAACATTCCAGAGTGTGGTGTGTTTGTTAAATCTTTCTATGGTTAGGGTAGGATGCAAGATCTTCATTTGATGCTTTTAAAGGTTTGAATTATATTCCAGTCCCGTTTCCCCAGAATAGCACCTGCTCCAATGAAGAGTCACGGCCTGATGTTCATGACAGACCCAGAAGCACACATTTGCAATGTAATGGGCAGGACTTTTAACTAAGTGGGAGATGAAGGAGAGGGAAACATGATACAGAGAACAGGGCTCACAGAGGTAATGGGCCTTAAAGAATGAATGACTGGGGTGTCGCTTAGTTGGTAGAGTACTTGTCTCACCTGCGTGAAGCCACAGCGCACATAGCCCAGGCATGGTGGCACATGCCCATAATCCCAGCACCTGTGAGGTGGAAGCAGGAGAACCAAGAGCAAGATAACTCTCACACATAGCAAATTTGAGGCCAGCCTGGTCAGATATGTTTAAAACAAACAAACAATGGATATATACTGACTACACTAGCAGGAGAGTCAGGGAGGGGCACGCTAGGCAGAGAGAATATGTAAAGACACAGAGGCATAAAAACATGTCATGACTGAGTAACTTCAGTGTTCCAGGGGAAGCCGTTCTTAGTCGTGTACTTAAACATTTTGGGGCTCTTGGAGGATGGACACAATGGTCTGCACGGCAGGAATTTATACACCTGTTGTGTGTCTGGATCAGGGCTAGGAATGGGGATGGTAGCAGTGCCCCAGAATCTTCTCCAGCGGAGCAGGAAAGACAGTTCAGAGTTCAGCACACAGGAGAGACACCCGACCCTGAGGCTAGCAGGCCAGGGCGGTTTCACAGAATACCTCTGAAACCAACACAAGAGCAGGAGATACAGCAGGGCTGGGAAGAGTGCTAAAAGGCAGGGGACAGAAGAGTGCTAAAAGGCAGGGGACAGAGTGTACAAAGGTTAGAGTTGGGAGAGAGTGTCTGTCACCTGGGAACCGCAGTGACAGGAGCATGGTGGGGGTATTTGTCCTTTAGAAAGACCCATTACACAGAAAGGAAAGGGCAAAAGAGTTAAGTTTAGATAGGAGATTCTTCTGGTAAGATGCAGGGTGGGGGAGGACAACTGAAAGGACCCTAGTAGGCCCAGGCTGGTGACCCATAAAACCTGGGTTACAGTTCTGGCCCCAGCTCTCTGAATGTAAGCCACCATGAGGATGCTCTTCACTGCTGAGCCATCTCTCCAGCCCAAAAAATGCCTTTCCTAACTGGGGCCTGTGGCACCTGCAGCACTCAATTACTGTGAAAAGTAACTTTTCTTTTGAGGCAAAGTCTTGCTATGTTGCTCAGACTGGCCTTGAACTCCTGGACTCAAGCACATCTTCAGCCTTCCAAGTAGCTAGCATCACAGGCATGCAAGCTGTGCTTGCATTTAGTGCAATTTAAATCCACCCTTCTACTCATTAAAAAGGTTTGCAAACATCCAGCATTCCAGGATATGAGCAGGCAACCTGGGTTCTCCTGAGTTTGGCTTTTAGGTTATGCCAGTTAGTTTTCATTATCAACTTGGCAAAACTGAGTCCCCTGGGAAGAGAGTGTCATTGGGGAACTGTCTAGATCAATTGTCCTGTGGGCATGTCTGTGAGGGGTTATATTAATACTTATTTGAGATGAGATGACCTTTCTTCTGTGGGTGGCACCATTCTCTGGGCAGGGCTGT